AATTTGGGAAAAAAATAAGCTGTTGCTCCAACCGCAACAGCCCATTTTTGACTTGCTCGTTTCAGTTGTCGCGTTTTTTTTTGCCGCGTTTCGCGTTGGCAGGAATTTCGGCCCTCCTACTTTTGGTTGGTCATATTGATTTTGGTATGTGGAGATACTCTTTGTGGTTTGCTTCATTCTATAGCTAATATCTACTTCTTCATTTTTTTTCGCATATTCGGGTATGTACCAAAAGTACGTACTGCGGGTCTGTGCACTGAATTAGGCTGCATTTAATGAGATTGGAATGCCGTATTTTCTGCTTCCTTCTGCGCAGTTTTGCCTAAATAGTGAACTTGCCCGTGATTAGGGCGAGCTGCAGGTTGTGATAGGGGCAGCGCTTTGCACTTGCGGTTCATGGCGCGGACGCGCGCCCTGTACTTTTAGCACGTATCCTCGGATGTTCCTCATCTTTACCCGTGAGAAGCCATCTGTTTTTCAAAATCTGTTTCTTTTTTTTACACAGACACCATCACCAAGCCTAATCGTGTCAACTGGGTGGCTACGGGCGAAATATCTAATAGAGCTCCTCTTACTAGGTGTATGCTCTGTATCCCCGGTCGTTCAGTCGTAAGTTTTCCGATGTGTAGGTCCCATAACAAATATACTTGGGCGCCAGCTCAATCCCATTCATTCTGTTTTCCCAAAAGGTCCGCTAAAAATCGGCTTTTGACCAAAAGGTCCACTAACAATCGGCTTTTGAAGAATTGAGTGACTTTTCATCTGGCCCGGATTTAATCCCGGAAGCGGCGGAGAAACGCGACTTTTCAAACCTCCGCTTTATATCTGCGGTTATAATTAGCGAATTTTGTGTTGAATAGTTCTTGATAAGTGATCTACGTTTCCGATATTTCATGGTATCTTCAAGGGTACTGTTGGTCAAAGTTTATACGACAGAAAATGCATCTGACAATGAGTCAAAAATTAGTGAAGGGTGGCATATTGGATGTTGAAATGTTGCACTCTGCTCGCAGTTTTGTTGAAAATGTCTTTCGTCGCCGGAATCTATGTATGCGCCGGCTTCTTTGAGCCATATTTACAACTTTATGGCTAAAGCCACAGGCTCCTCCCAAACCCGCCAGCATTAGAGTCATCATTCAGTGGAAGGGGGAATTTTATTGACTAGAATCCGGTGAGAGCGCAACATGGAATTTTCGGTATAGGTTTTCTCATTGCTGACGTCAGTAGGACCTCCAGCATACCTAGTTATACTTTGCAGTTGATAAGGAGATAAAATAAAGTTAAAATATTGGCGTTGATCAGTTTCTTATTGGGATGTGCCACGCAACCTACTTCCACACAGGGTCGCAGTGGCATTTGAATGCAATTTAGCCTACGCAGTGGTTTGCACGATTAACGAGTTTAAGACAGTTTTCTTCCCCGACTAGTCTGATGCTATCATTTTACCTCGGAGGGATGGAAGGCTTGGTTCGATCCGGACGTCGTCTCAGCCATGATTTGATCCCTGGACCATGCGTATGTTAACTAGCGCCACTTGCCACTGCACCACTTTTAATGTCGCGGTTGATAAGGGATATTTAGTCTCCAGGTACTCTCCAGATATACACGAAGGGTTCACATGTGTGCTCTGAAGGATAATAATTTCTGCTTTTACATGTCACTGTTTTCGTTGCGGTAAAAATAGAAATGTTATTTGAGGGCAATTTTCAGTGGTTCAATTAATAGTAGCGTAACAGATGAATGTTTTACCACTGTTCGACCACTGCTACGAGTGATTTAGGCATCTCAGATTCAGGATATTCTATAGCTTGCTGCTCATTGCTTTCTCATCTTTTGTGTAAGCTCTTGCCAAAAAATCCCTCTTTCGCCATGGCAAAAGTGACAGTTGGACGATTAGCCATTCATCGGTAAACGACGGAAAGCATAGTTTACTACGGCATGATTTGAGTGACAAGGGCTCAAAAAGTGTGTCTAATAGTTCTTATCCGGTAGACAATGCAGTGGTCGTAGTGGCCTTCAATATGTCGCAATTGCAATTCGGAGCTCATAAAGGTGTTTTCGTGGCCTTTTTGATTCGTGAATTTAAGGTCACAGGACGTGGAATGGGAAGGGCCTAGTGTTTTGGCCCATTTATACGACCTTCGCGAGTATCTACCCTGTGTGGTTTCTTCTACCTACCCAACCCATCTGCCCATCTCATTTTAGGGTTATAAGAAAACTGTGAAGTGGGTGGGGGGGGAAAACGATAAGAAATAATTGAAGAGCATCATTGTTTATGATTCCGTATAAATGTTTAGGACTCTCGCCGTAGGACTTATATACTGTGTACTTAAAGGCAGCGAACGCAGTGATAGGAGCGGAGCGATTTTGATGGGGGGGGGGGGGGGTGGGGGGGAAAACGGTTTTTTTTGGTTGAATTAGCTGCTCATCCCGGGGATTGTGTGGGCCACCTCTTAACGCCCGCATCAATGTTACATTCCATGACATACTCAAACGACGCCTCTAACCATGTAGCCACTGCCTTTTAATTATGTGGTTAAGCATTTTAATTATTCAGTTTTCAGTGATTATTATGTTAGTTTAGTCCTTAATCAAGTTCATCGATTGATAATCCAATTATAATTTTTGCTTTCTAGTTTTGTCCTTTCTAAATACGATACATTATTGAATAAAGTAAGTGCAACAAGATTAGCCGTCTGTTTGGTTCCAATTTTTGTCAAAGCGACTTAGGCAAGTTCCGATAATTGGTTTCTGAAAAAAGTCCTCATTTATGCGTCCGTTGTTGTATTACGTCTTTTGCCATGGGAAAAACTCATTCTCTCATGCCCTTCATTAATGCTTTCTCGTTTCCCATCGTAACCGGAGGCTTTCCGCCTCGATTTTCATTCAGCTCTTTTCAGCCTGGCGGACGATGTTTCTGCTTCTGCTTTCCTCCTGGCAATAGCCGCTCGTCGGTTTATCTCCGTTGAAATCGTTGGTGTTCGCTGAGTGGCGTGTTGTGGTTGCGGCAGCCTCAATTTATGGTTTGGTCTGCGGATAAAGCTGGCAAAACATGTCAATTCCCTTCGGGGGGCGTCACAAGTTAAGGCGCTCTCCCTTTGAATCTTCCCATCGACTTTTCTTCAATTTTTCTCCTTGTCTGTTGAGGTTCAAGACTTTAACATTAAATTTTTGGTTAGATTTCTTTATCTCTTTGGTGCTTTTTATTTAGGGTGTTTGAAGGTATTACGGTTATTATTGTTTGTGATATGACAGTGTGATATCTATTGATTTTGGCTTTTGTTATGATTCCTTTTGTGTTCACTATGTGAAGTATAAAGAATTGATTTTTAATTCACGATTTCTTTTTTTTGTCGTTTTTTCGACGCTCTTCGGCTATCGAAATTTTAAAGAAGATTCCATATAACTGCTGTGTTGAATAGTGTTGACATAGGTATTCTGTATGGTATGGACGAATCTCACAGTTTGCTACTAAATGAGGAAGCCCTGAGGGTGAGTTGAAAAGCTAAAATCGTTTTTGGTTGTTTTTTACGATATTTTTTCGTATTTTTTTCTGTAAATTCTGTTCCATTTGCATTGTATACGAGTTTATTTCATAGTACTCTGCAGAATTTGAGTAAAAAAACTTTCAGCAATGCCCTGACCCTAAGAAGCCTGTTTTTCTTTATGAATGGCTGCGCGATATTTGGATAGAATCTTGCCGGTTACGCAGAGGGTTGGTTGTTGTCCAAAGGCTAATCACCGAACAACCTCTCTTTTTTTTCGACTGATTCTTTCAGTCTGCAACCCTCAATCGACTTACAATCTTTCAGTTGGGTTCAGCAACTTTTGTCAACCGATTGACATCCTGCTTAAGGACGCTCTCAATTACGATATTACACGTTGCCCGGTAAATGGTTTTTGCTGGTGGTTTTGGGGAGCATTCAGAACCAGCTGCGAACGAATGAACGCAGTTGGTGATGACGACCCTGCCCCGGACAATGTTCTCGGTTGGCTGCCGCTCGCTTGTTTTGTGGATTTTGAATTGATATTTTGTCTTTACTTTGCTCATTTGCTTTTCACTATTTTCCAAATTGAATGTTAATAATGGTGTTTGGACAATCAATTGAAGGCGGTAAGGTAAAACGAAGGTATTTGCGATGAACTTTGGTCAACTGGATAATTGCGATAGGGTGTTTTACCAGTTACGCAATTCTATCAGTTAGTAGAGCGTTAGGGATGTTTCCATTTTTTCTATTCTTTCTTTCCAATACCAACACAAAACTGTTTTTTCAACAGGCCAAAACTATTCAAAAATGGGCAAGCCGCTGGCGTAGCAGCCAGCGCGCATTGACACTGGGGCAAGCGTATCGTGCGAAATGCTAGCGCAGCACAGTCTGAATGCTGCCTGAGGGCAGTGGATGCTTTTTCAAGTCATAACTTTTTCTTATAGATGTTTGGCTCGAATATATTTAATTGGCGATAGTTCAACATTTGGTGATACATTAAATTTGTGTAATGATACCTTAAAAATAAAGATGATTCTCCAAGCCAACTTCCAGCTAAACTGTGAAGTTTTTTCGCTGTTTGGCTTTACGATTTTTCTTTCTTTCTAAATTGCTCTATAATTTGAATTTTAGCGCCGCCCTCGCTGCTGCATAGCATCGTTCTATGTAACAATGGGAAAGGTGTGGGTCTAAGTTTTGTCGACACATTTCCAATAATGGTGAAGTGGCTGAAAGTGGCGGAGGTATGGTTCTGGTATTTTTTAAGCTTTTCTATTCGTTTTTCATATCGTTTTTCATTCTTTCCTTTGCTTTGTTACATGGATAGTGTTGCTGAAAACGATGTTTCTCGGCGAAACAGTGGGAAACTGACCGATTACCAACCGGCAATGTTGTTTGTCATTGTCGATTTCACTGGGAACAGTTCGTGCTCCCTTGACCCGGAGTTCTATTTTTGAATTATCAGCTTTTGGGAAAGAGTGAGGGGGGGGGGCGGTCTCATGTGTCATATCATGATCCCAAAAAGCGTTTCAGAATGGGAGCGCGGGGCAGGACGGAAAGTTTCGAAAAAAAACTACTATGCGACTGGCCCTTGGGATCATTCACTTACATCAGAAGTAATGGAAGCGAAGAAGATGTGGCGCGTCTGAAATCAAGAGATATACGGACTATGTGTGAAGCCATTGCCATCTTGTTCTAACTTGCCTGTGCCATAGCCCAGGTCTGGCCGCTGGTACTAACGAATATTCCCAACAGCGATTACGGCGTTAGGCCCTGTTCAGAGATGTCCGCCGGCGCGAAAAAACGCACAGGCGAAAATCTCCGCCAAGATTTAGATACGCATCGACTGAGAAATTGTGAAACGCGTAAGCGAAACGTCCGGAGCAGGCGAATTTCAGTCAAGAGTTTGATATGTATCGACTGTGAGAAACGCACAGGCGGAAAATCGCGTGAGCGAAGCGTTCGTAAGTCGATGCGTATGATACTCATTTTCGTCGATCCTCCCACTTCACGATTCGCCTGTGCGTCTTCGTTCAGTCGATACATATTTCACATTGTTTCGCCTATGCGTTTTTTCGCGCAAGCGGACATCTCTGAACAGGGCCTTAAAGCGTTCAATATTCACATTTTAGCCCAATTTCAGTGTCGCAAGGACGTGCTGAAATATTGATAACCTTGTCAAGTATGGTTACTGGGCTAGGCTCCGGAGCTGCTAATTTCCATAAGGATGTTTACAAAGCTGCTAAGGCACACCTGGCCGACCGAGTTATGGCAGTGCGAGCAGCTGCATTGCAGGTTTGTAATGAATATAGATTTTTCAAAGGCCCTGTTCCCAATAGTTATGATTCAACGGTAATTTTTGCTTGTTTTAGTGTGTAACAGCGCTCGTTCCGGTCTATCCTCCACTTTATTCGACAGAACTTGAAGCAAGTGATACTTGTGGCAAGCTAAAAGCGAAGTATGGATTCGCAACTACGAAACACGACTTGCCGTAGCGCGCTTGCTGGCTGTTCTGCTTGCCACGGCTCTCCAGCCTCCACCGCCAATGTGTACGTTTTACAGTTTTTTTGCATTAAATTTTATTCTTTTGTTTATTTTTATTTATTCTTATTATATTTATTGTAATTTTTTGTTCAATTATTGACTTTTGTTGCCAATCATACGTTGTGCTCTCACTCACTCACTTTTGAAAGGCTCAAATTGTGGTTTGGTTCCTGGTTCCTCCATGTTGAGGGAAAAGACAAGCAAGCTTCCTTTCCCTGGCAAGAGCACCCTTGAGATTCCCCTCTCTGTTTTT